TGGTTAATAAGGCTTTTAAGGGCTGGCCCGGTGGCGCACTCGGTAGAGTGCAGTGCTTGGGAGTGCGGCGGCGCTCCCGCCGAGGGTTCGGATCCCATATAGAGACCAGTCTGCTCACTGGTTGAGCGCGGTGCGGGCGCGACACCGAGGGTTGCGATCCCGTTGTCGGTCGCAGTACGGGCGCGACACTGAGGGTTGCGATCCCGTTACTGGTCACGAAAAAAGACAAAAAGGAAAAAAATAAATAAATAAGGCTTTTAAGTGAATACTGCCATTCATCATTTCATAAAAAAGGTTAACAGGAGTTACATGAGTTATCTTGGAGGTCGCAGTGGAACAGCAACAAGGACCTGAATTTTAAATCATTTCTATGTTTCTGAAGTCATTACCATTAGAATGAGTGAGAAGTATAATTTACTGTTGACTAAGATGTGAAATTAATGGTAGGACATAACTCACTGATTTTTTAATCTTTTTGCTGGGCAAATAGTGAATAAGATTCTTTCAGAATCAGTCCACCTGATGATCAATAGTGACTATGTTCTCTTTTGCTTATGCTGAACTCTGATAGTCTGTCCAGGACATGTAAATAGAAAAACAAAAGTGAGAGCTAAAATCCATATTTGGAACATTTGTGATGTCATATAGCATTACAGTTATGGTTAAATCAAGTACAACTAGCAGTACTCTTTCCATCCTTCAATGTTTTAATTTCCTTATATACTAAGAAAATGATTAAGAGAGATTTGTGATATTACACATTTTGTTTTGATAATCCAGGTTCAAAAAACCTTAGTTTGGTACATATTTTTGTGTCTTTTAGAATATGATGCTTTGGCAAAAGTGATCCAGCATCATCCAGACAGGCATGAAACATTAAAGTAAGTATAGAGCTTTACTGTGAAAGGAACTAACCTTTATATGTGTATGTTCAAGTACTAGTTTATGCATTTCATTTTTATAGAAATACATAATATTTTTCAAAAGGCAGGGTCATATCTTAAATATTATGCAAGGGTACTTCAAAAAGTTTGAGGGAAAATGAAGTTAAAAGATAATACGAATCTTCCCATGAACTTTTTGAAGACCCAACGTGTATTCTAATATTGCTTGATTAGATATTTTTTCCTTCCTCCAGCCTTACTTTGTCTTATATTGCCTGTAGGCCTAAAATAAATGCATGCAATATATATCATAGGAAAATGGATGAATAGAATATGATCTATTCATATAGTAGAATACTAAATAGCTGTTAAAAATAATATGCTAGCTATACACATTTAAAACACAGATCTCAAAACATAATCAGTGAAAAATAAATAAAAGACATATAATGAATTTAAAATTATTCCTGTTTCTGAAATATTCATACATATGGAATAATAACCATTTATAAAAGTTAGAACCCCCCTCCCAAATATCATATACTAATGCTGTAGATTATTCAGAGATGTAAATATATGCATAGTAAAAGGATTGGAATGATTTAATGGCTGCCTGAGTGATAGGTAGAGAACTAAAACAGGGCCTCAGAGGATGGGGGTGGGGCTGGTGGTTAGGTTCAAAAGGTATTTCAAGTTAATTGGCAATGTTTTGTTTCTTTTACTTTTGTATCATGGGGTTTTGTTATTCTATTATATGTGTTTTTCTGTACTTTAAAAAATTTATATAAGATGTAATTTTAATGAAAATAAGTGCATATTTAGGTGTTAAGAAAAAATCATCCGTAGCTTTAAAAATCTCACCATAATATGGAGTGTTATAACTCCTTATCCTTTTTTATTTTTAAAACATATTTAGTAACTAAAAAGTTAGATATTAATTATAAATTCTGTTCTCCTAATTAACAAAATATAACACTGGGTTTTTTTTTTTTTTTTTTTTTAAGAGAACTAGAGGCTCTGGGAAAAGAATTAGAGCATCTTTCACATATTAAAGAAAGCGTTGAAGATAAGGTATTTGTATATATGTATATTAGCCTTTGTGAGATATACATATGTTTATAGATCAATTTGTATAAATTTTGTTTCTTGTTAACACAGCTGGAATTGAGACGGAAACAGTTTCATGTTCTTCTTAGTACCATCCATGAACTTCAGCAAACATTGGAAAGTAAGTAAAAGGAATGTTTGTGAAGATTTTTAAGTGGTTCAGGGGCATGCCTTTTGGATAAACATCTTGGAAAGAGAGTATACCTTCCATTTCTGAACAGGGGTATAGCTGGGTGACATTAGAAGGCACTTGTTTGGTTTGAATATATGCAGAAAAGTCTTGATTTGTAGTAATATTTGATTTAAATATATACCCAGTGTTTTAAGTTAAGAAAAAAAAATCAAGGATTTTAGATTTGAGATTTTTTTATAGTTTATTGTTTATCACTATAAAGAAACAATTCAGGACCTAGGCAGTCAATGACAAGTAGTCAGTGCCTAAGAACATTTGCATACCCAGTGAATGGTGGGTGCTTTGGGGAACTGGTGCTTTTGTATTGATTATAGCCAATTGGAAATTTCTGTACTACCTGATCTTCTGATTGTTCAAGAACAGCCTAAGAAACAGATTTTTTTTTCAGCGATATCTACCACACAAAATTTAAATTTTGATTTAAATAATAAACAACAACAACCAAAAATAGCACTTTTAAAACCAAACACTTATGAAGGCCAGTTGCCATCATAGGCTTCCATTTTGCCATCTTTGTTTTAAATATATTGGCTAATAAAGAATAAAAATGTTTTCATATATTCATGAAACGTAAAATTTAGGAAAACTTTACTAAAATTTTATGTTTCTTTCTCAATTACAGATGACGAGAAGCTCTCGGAGGTAGAAGAAGCTCAAGAAATAATCATGGAAGCAGATCCTAAGCCATAGATAGGCTAATTACTCACCATTCCCAAGAATATTGAAATAGCTACATGAGCTTAGTATGTTTACAATTTGTTGCACTCTTGAGATATTTAAAGTTTGGCAGTGAACTACTTTGCTTCAAATATTAATGCACATTTCATTATGTTTCTTCACACAAAGAAAAATGACCAGTATAGATTTGTATTCATTGACATCTATTTTTTATTCTTAAAAGGTAGGAAGCAACATCCAAAATTGTTTAATAAGATGTTTTCAAGCTGGCTATGTTTGTGCTCATTAGTATTCTAGGTAGTTTTTAATTGATAGCTTTGATTGACTTACAAAATATGTTGAATGTTGTGAGAAGGTATTTCTAGGATATACATGAGAAGATGAGACAATTTCTGGAAATTGTTACCACTTTTGAAAATGGAGTCCATGAATAGGCTTCAGGAAGGCCATGTACCTTTAAAATTATGTGCAAAATGTTTGTGCTGTATTCTTGTGAGGAGAGGTTCCATGATATTAAGAATGATTGGTATAAGACCTAATTACAACATGCAAAGTAAATCAATATGCATTGCTTTCTGTATCTCTCTCCTTAATACTTGAATGTGGTTGCTAAATGTTTTGTTGATATGTTCTCTCTCTACTATTTTGTTCTTTAGGAGTTGTTTTCAATAGAAAAAAATATTGATAAAGTGAAGAGTCATTTGAGGTAAATAGTTTGTTAAAATTGTCTTGGATAAAGGATTTCATAGTCTTTTTAAAAATTAAGCTAGGCAGAATCACTTGTAATTTTCTTAAGTATTGAATTACATGTACAATACTCATTCGGTTTCATCTTTTTCCATTTATTTTAGTTAAGAAACATGACACTTTGCGTGATTCATACCTTAATGTTACATTTTTGTAATTTTAATAAGAATTTTCATCTTTAAAAATGAAGGCTTAAAATTAGCTCAGTAGTAGTCATATTAAAAGTGTCATAATACCTTTAAGTGCTTCCTCTAATTTCATCTGGCAAATCATAGCAGAAATTTTTTTTGTGGAATTGCTATGCCTTGACAAATGTTTCTATTTTCCATTATTAGTAAGAATTATGAAGCAAAAATTTGCTCATATTGACTGAGAACTAAAAATCAATTTTTTGTAAAGGTTTTTTTTTTTAAAGGACTGTTGGGCACAATATTCTTTAATAATGCCCCCCCCAATTGATTAATTTATTAGAGAGATTTATTTAGGATTATGTACCAAAAGATAAGAATCCCTACAAAGATAACTTTTATACAGTCAGGAACAAAATCAGAAACAGCAGCAGGTGCACGGGAAACACACATTTTTCAATTTATATTTCCTCGTGGTTCTCTTGGATATCCTCTGGAACTGCTTAGAAGACTGAAGAATTTCGTCCCCTAGACACTCACACTGTTGAAGCTCAGCGTGTTTTTGGGCCAATAGCTTCATATATTTATCAGTGTTTCTATGAGGTCATCCACGTATAACAGATAGATTCAAAGAAATGAAGTCAAAAGAAAAAGCCTTGAGAAAGCCTTGTCAAAACTAAAGAGATAGTTGCTTTTCCTGAGAGATGAGTTTAGGAATTGGTGGATGCTTTGCAAGTCTCAAAGGTTTATTTTAATTCAAGTCATAGCAAACAGCTTGAAAACATACATTTTCCACCCAGTGGTAGTGATGATCTCATTTCTTCTCAAAAGAAGCCTATGTGTATGCCTTGATTTTAATTTTATTCACTTAATATTTATTAGGCACATAGCATCATCCTAGGTGCCCTCAGCAGTCCTTCAGTCACTCTCAGAATGCCCCCCACTAACATTATTTCTTAATGCTAATCATTAATTTCATCCTAGATCCATGCTGTCTAGCAGGACTGTGCATTCAGTAAGCCTGGTCCTCTTGATGCTTCTGAGACACAAAAGTAAAAGCCTTTGTCTACTACCTGCATTTGAAGTTTTCCTACTGTCAAATCTGATTTTTGGAGGATGGTTTCCATGCCATGTTTCTTTTTTATAAGTGCTGGAAAGTGTGGTCTTTTTTTTTTTTGATGAATATGGAACCTATTGTAAAAATGCAAAAAGATGAGATTAGGAAGTACCAACATTATTTCTGTGATGGCACTTAAATAAGAATTTCATCTTTAGGACATTCTCTAATAAACTGAACATTTGCTGTATAACAACATCCGGTTGGAGACCGTATTCATATTATTCTCCACGCCCCATGTATCTCCTTTGTGCCCAGAGCTCTCTTTGAAGAGATCTGGAGGGTGCAGAGAAATGAGATTGTCTGGCTCTGAAAGAATATACAGCATCAGAAAAAAAAAGCAGGTCATTTGTTAAGTGGAAGAAGAAGAAATTGTCTCTGCAGCTGCTGAGCACAGTAAGTGTGTGGGGATCAGTGCCCCAGAAGCTCATTATCACTAGATCCAGTTGTTAATTTGGTCTCTTTTCTTCAGGTTTCCTTATTTTCATGGCAGTTATGTCTCCAAACATAAAAAGAAAGCTCTGGGTTCTTTTCACCCCATGTCTGATAGTTTTCCCATTGTCCCTGGCTTACTAGTTACAAGTACCTGTCCTAATAGTGTTGCTATTGGAAATCACTCCTAGGTCATGGTTCCCAGGTAATATGCCCTTTTTAGTCTTACTGGGTTCACTCTTCCCTTCCCTTGTGCTTAATAATTAGCATTAGACTACTGTGAGACCTACACAAAGTAGGATGTGGGACCACATCTGGATCCTCCCCTTTGCTTGATCAAGGAGTTTACAAATGGATTCTGCTGAACCACTGCTGATGTCACTGGCTCAGATGTCACTTGCAGAAACTTCCCTGATTCATCTAAAATCAGACCCCTCTTTTTTCTTATAAAACCCAGTACTTTTTCCTATTAAGCATCTGTCACACTTGGTATTTACTAAGTTATTTCTGTGCTTGTTGAAAACAGCTATTATAAAATCCAATACCTAGGGCAGGTTTTGTAAAATAGGACCTGTGGGGCTATTGTGGACTGGAGAGAACTTGCCTCTTGCAGAGGGGTACCTCTGTGCATCTCCTGCTTGTTGCTGTGAGGAATTGTGGGCCCAGTGTTTCCAAAGTTTCCTATTATTCAAAGGGAAGTTGAAAACCCAGATTTTTATTTGAAATGTCCAAATTTTAAAGTATGGACAATTGAATTAATTAATTCAAATATACTTTTAAGAACATTCTCAGGGCTAAGCAGTACCCCTCTATAGTCAGTTGATAATTTAATGTCTTTTGATGGACAGAAATTTCTAATTTAATTATAGCCAAATTTATCCATTTTTATTATGGTCAGTACTGTTTGTGTCCTAAGAAGTCTTTCTCTGTCCTGAATTCATGAAGATATTTTGATTGTCCTCCATAATTTTTAAGATTTTGCCCTTCCCATTTAAATCTACAACCTAAGGGGAATTTTTTATATGGTGTGACATAGGGATCAAATTTCATTTTTTCCCCATATGATGTCCACTTGTCCCAGTGCCATTTATTGAAAAGATTACCCTTACCCACTGCTCTGCAGTGCCATGGTTTAATGTTTATTTCTTCTATTAGACTCTAAGTTCCATGAAAATAGGACCATGTCTATTGGATCACACTTGTAGTCCCCAAATCTAGAAGCAAAATTCAAAACTAATATTGGTGCACTCTGACAGTGATGTTCTAGAGCAGTGCTGTTTAGTAGAACTTTCTCCTGAGATGGCAGTGTCTCTGTGCTATCCAGTACAACAGCCACTAGCTACAGGTGGCTATTGACCACTTGAAATGGAGCTAATGCGACTAGAGAACTAAACTTTTATTTAATTCTAATTAACATAACTAGTCACATGTGGCTATTGACTGCCATGTTCGGCAGTGTATTGGACAGTACAATTAGTACACAGCATAGTAATTAAGAATAAACACTCTAGAGCCAGGTCTTCCTGTTACTTAACCTCTCAGTGTCATCCTTAAAATAAGGAGAGCATTACTACCTACCTTATGGGGCTATTGTAAGGAGTATCTGAGTTGATATTTTTAAAGCACTTAGAACAGGACCTGGAAACATAGGTTTAAGTAAGTGCTTATTATATTTAAAATAATAATAGTTTGGGGTTCTATTTTTTTTTTTTCCTTTTTGTCTTTTTTCGTGTCCGGCAATGGATCGCAACCCTCAGTGTCGCGCCCATACCGGACTGGGACTGGCAACGGGATCGCAACCCTCAGTGTCGTACCCGCACCTTGCTCAGCCAGTGAGTGGGAACCGGTCTGTATGTGGGGTCCGAACCCTCGGCGGGAGCGCCGCCACACTCCCAAGCGGCGCACTGTAGCAGTGCACCACCGGGCCGGCCCCATATTTTTTTTAAATAGTCAATCTAGGTTCAAACATACATAACTATGGATAAGTAAAAGCTTTGGTTTGGAGAGTCCTGGATCATCTCCTGCTGCACCTTCTATGCTGTACATGCTGTTTACATTTTAATTTCAATTAAAAGTAAGTAAAACTAAAAATTCAGTTCCTCAGTTGGACTGGCCACATTTCAAAGTCTCAAAAGCCACATATGGCTAATGGCTACTATATTGGACAATGTACACTTGCATTCTTGCATAAAGTTCTATTGGACAGCTCTAGTCTAGTGAATTCCTTCCTACACAGCATGCACAGATAGGCCAGATTGCTAATATACCAACTTGACATTTGAACAGTTGAGAAAGTCAGTATAAAGCTTCAAACTCGGCTGTTGCCCAGATTGCAGTAGAAACTGAACACTTTGAGCTTAGAAGTAAAGGAATCTGACCTGGAAAGCCTACTCTGTGCCCTAAATTCTTGGAGAGGAAACAAAAGCAGCAGATTTAAAGGGTATATTAAGGGGGGTTTATGGTAGAAGAGAACATGATTTTTGCAAAATCCCAAAACATTGACTTATGTGTAAATCTAAATGCAAATTTGTTTTAGTGTTTTACCTTTTGCAGTCCTGAAGGAAGAGATGTCATAGATAACCACTTAATGGTTCTCCTGGCCTGGAGGAGTGTATTTCCTTGGGTTATCTCCTCTGTCTCTGCTTCTACAACACCAAGTTGTATAGTTGCTTGAAGAAAGGAAAACAAAGAACCTGTAAAAATCACAACTGTAAACATATTCTTCCTATTAAAAAGTGTCCCGAAAAAACAGCATCAGATGCTGCCTTAGTAGCTTTTTTCTTGGGATAAAATTTTTTTTTAAATGGGTTTGCTTTTCCTAATCTTACACTATCTCCTGCACACTTTTGCCTTTTGTTATGGTCATGACCTCAGTGGACACCAACCCAGTCTTGACAAGGTGGTTACCTCTCTCTCGGAGACTCAAGTTTTGCCCTGCATTGCTTTTCCCTTTAACCATTGTGGAATTAGAAAAAGTAACCCTCTAATGTACATGGCTGCCCCTTGAGTATTCCTTGTTGGCGAAGCAATGTTAAATCTGTTCTCCAGCAATGTGGCCAAAGGCTTAGTCACTCAATACCATCTTAATAGTTTTTCTCATATCCAGGAATCATGTGAACTCTGGATTCCTTAATATTTTTCTTTATATCAACTTAATGCTTAACTCAATGAATGTACTTATAAGGGAAACTTTAAAACACTACCATAAATTGAAAACCAGTATAATAAACAGTCATTAAAATGAATATGCTAGGGCCGGCCCGGTGGCGCACTGCTATAGTGCGCCGCTTGGGAAGCACGGCGGCGCTCCCGCCGAGGGTTCGGATCCCACATACAGACCAGTTCCCGCTCACTGGCTGAGCGAGGCGCGGGAGCATCACCAAGGGCTGCGATCCCGTTGCCGGTCCCGGTACGGTACGGGGGCGACACTGAGGGGTGCGATCTGTTGCCAAATACCATCTTAATAGTTTTTCTCATATCCAGGAATCATGTGAACTCTGGATTCCTTAATATTTTTCTTTATATCAACTTAATGCTTAACTCAATGAATGTACTTATAAGGGAAACTTTAAAACACTACCATAAATTGAAAACCAGTATAATAAACAGTCATTAAAATGAATATGCTAGGGCCGGCCCGGTGGCGCACTGCTATAGTGCGCCGCTTGGGAAGCACGGCGGCGCTCCCGCCGAGGGTTCGGATCCCACATACAGACCAGTTCCCGCTCACTGGCTGAGCGAGGCGCGGGAGCAACACCGAGGGTTGCGATCCCGTTGCTGGTCCCGGTCCAGTACGGGGGCGACACTGAGGGTTGCGATCCATTGCCGGACACGGAAAAAGACAAAAAAAAAAGAAAAAAAAATGAATATGCTAAAACCAAAGTCATGTTATTTTGGCACTAATCATGTTATCAAGGCACTAAACTTGAGATTACTCTCTTTTTATTAAAAAAGGAGGGGGCATGAAATGAGATTTTTTTCCTTGATGTAGTGAAAAGGACTGATATTGTGGAAAAGGTGTTTGCAATTTGCTGTGTGTTTCAACGTTAACTTCATGCTGTGTGCAGTACCTAAAAGCATCTCGTCTTGCCTAAGGCCCTTGATAAGGATTTCTCTGGAAGCCTCAGACCTCAAAATACATTAGCCTATTTGACATCTCCACTTAGCTATTCTGCAGGGACCTTAACTTGGCAAGTCTAAGCAGAACTCATGACTTCCTTTCCAATCCAGGTCCATTGATCCTAATCTCAATGAATGGTGCCTCCATCTTCAGAGCAAGTGCTCAACCCATAAACTCTTACCACCTCCCCCAACCCCCATGCTCAGCTCTTCCCCAAATCTTATAAGTTCTTCCTATGACTACTTTCCCCTTTATCTCCCCATCCTCACTGCCACAACTAATCCAAGCTGATGTCATCCCTCGCCTGAACGAATGTAAGAGCCTGTGTATTGTTCTTGCATCTGTTCCTGACCTCATTGAATCTAGACTGTACTCTGCAGTCAGAGCTATCTTTTAAAAATGCAAATTAGATTATATAAATCCCCAGACTGAACATATCCAATGGTTTCTTATCACCCTTAGGAGAAAGCTAAAATTTCTTAATGTGGCCTACAACACCCTTACCACTTCTTTCAACCAGCCTCTCTCCCTGGCTCTCTCTGCTCCAACCATCCCCCACCCCCTGGATTTTTAGAAATTTCTTAATTATGCCTGGTGCTGTCTTGATATGAGGACTTGAACATGCTCTCCTTTCTTCCTGGAAA